TTTCTCCTCCCAGGATCTTGGACATGCATGCACATGCCACAGGCCTGAATTTCTTTTTTTGGAGAGGTTTTTGCTACAGAGAGCATGAGCTGACCAGAAAGACAGAGAGAGACAGAGAGACAGAAAGCGAGAAATCACCCCCCCCAGGGGGGATGGCCACGCCACAATCCCTTCCCCTCCATTCTCCTCTCGGGATCTTGGGCACGTACGCACACGCGCACAGCGTGAGTTTAAGCCACCGGGTCCGGGATTTGAACAGCAGTCGACTACATGGGAGCCCAGCGACATAGCCATTATGCTAACTGCTGGTCCTGCAGCCAGCATGAGTTTTAAGCTGCTGGGTCCAGGACTCAAACTGTGGTCAACTACGTGAGAGTCCAGTGATGGAACCATTATGCCATCTGCTGGTCCCAATATTTATTTTCAAATAGAATGTTTGTCCTCTAGAGACATGACTCAGAGGGTGGTACAGGGGTGCAAGGCAGCGAACTCCCTGTGAGGCTGATGGGGTGGGAAGGCTCTGGTTTGCGTCAGAGATGTCCCCGGACATGCTGAGGTGTGTTTGTACCCGTGATCCCGGTGACTGGAGCCAGGGCGAGGGAGCAGTCAATCGGGGCCTGAAGACCATGTAGGGGTGCCTCTCCCTCTCTCATAGATGGGGGTAAAACTTAAAAAAACAAAATTACACCAGAGCCAGCAGGTGGCATGGTGGTTAAGGCGCTGGACTCCCACATGGCTGACCACGGTTCAAGTCTTAGACCCTGGAGGCTTCCTTTCTCACTTTCCCCCTCTCTCTCTATCTGTCTCTTTCTGGTCAAACAAAAATAAATAAAATAGTAAGCAAAATAGATAAATAATTCTTTAAAAAAGAATTTTCTTTTAACCACAGTTTGAGCCCCGGACCTGGTAGCTTGCTTTCTCGCTTTCTCTCACTCTCTCGCTCTCTCTCCTCTCACTCTGTCCCTCTCTGGTCAAATTTAAATAAATAAATAAAATAAAGTTAAATTTAAAAAAGAGAGAGAAAATGAAATAAAGGGCCGCAGGTGGCATGGTGGTTGGGGTGTTGGATCCCATGTGGCCAACTTCGGGGTTCGAGTCCCAGACCTGGTGGTTTGAAAAACATATCCAACTCATGTGCGTGTGTGTGCCAAGAATCCTGAGAGGAGAATGGAGGAGAAGGGACTGCAGCATGGCCATCTCCCTGGGGGGGGTGATTTCTCCCTTTCTCTCTAGTGAGCATATGTGCCCCATAGCAAAAACAAACAAAAAGAAAAAGAAAAAAAGAGAGAGGGGGGAAGAGTGAGGCGAGAACCCTGCACAGGGTCTGGGTGCGCCATGACCCTCCCTCTCGCCCTCCAGCTGGGAGAGCTTTCACAGGTCCAGCGCATTTCAGCTGACCGGGCAGAGGATTCAAACCGCGGTCGCCACGTGGGATCTGGCCTCCCTCTCTCTTAATTTAATCGCCAGCGAGTGCACGGGCAGGCCAGGCAGAGAGAGAGACAGAGGGAGAGGGGCTGAGGGAGAAAGCTACCCCCCACCTCTCCTCCACCTCTCTGTTCTGTTGGGATCTGTGCTACACACACGCTCGGTGAGTTTTTCAAGCTGCTGGGGCCAGGACTCAAACCACGCATGGCCAGGTGAGAGGAGGCCCCCTCACCCACTAGGCTATGGGGCTGGCCCACAGTCCGGCCTCTCTGGAGCAGGGCATGGTCATTGCTCCACGGAACCGCCCCACCTGCTTTGGGATTAAGCGCAGGCTGCCTGGAAGGCAAACCTGTCACCCGGGGGCCCATGGGGAGGGGAAGAATAAATGCCATCTTGGGGGCAGGCAGGTGGCGTGGTGGTTAAGGCGCTGGACTCCCACATGGCCGACTGTAATTCGAGTCCCAGACCTGGCAGCTTGTTTTCTCACTTTCCTTCTCTCTCTAGTCAAATTTTTTACAAAAGAAAAAATAATAAATAAAATTCAATAATTCTTTCAAAACAAACAAACAAAAAAACGGGGTTGGGGACCAGCAGATAATGTAACGGTTATGAGGCTGGACACCCGTGTAGTTGACCGTGGTTCAAGTTCCGGACCCAGTGGCTTAAAACTCACATCGGGGGGATCAGTAGTTAGCGTCATGGCTATGTCGCTGGACTCCCACGTAGTTGTCCGTGGTTTGAATCCTGGACCCGGTGCCTTAAACTCACGCCGGGCGGGT